GGGGTGTGTGTGGAAAGACTCCCCAGGGAAGAAGACGGGGCGCAGCAGCAGCTCCTCCGAGCCACAATCCCAATAAGCAAAATCTTGAGTATGCCAGCAATAAACTTAACCTCCCCCCAGGCTCCTGCCCTGGCCTTGTTTTTTAATAAGAGAGGTTGGGAAGGGGCTTTGGGGGGGGGGTGTCTCGGCAGGGCGATTGCGGGGTGCGCCCCGCGTGGCTTGCGAGCTTCTTCCCCCTGGTCCACTCTCGGAATCGCCTCTGGCGCTTCTCTCCTGCCACTTTCTGGCGGTCTTCCGAAACCAAGAACGTCCCTCGCCCTGGTTTTCTTCCACGAATTTTAGCCCAAGATTTTCCTTGAGCAGGGCAGAAAAACCAGGGCGGAAGCCGGGCGGTTTCCAGGGGGTAGATTGGGGAGGGGGGCAGAATCTCCTTCAAGCCTACCCAAACCCCAGACCTCCCTCTTGTGGGGGGTGGGGGGGTGTTCCCAATGTTGCTTTCCTCTTACTCCCCCCACCCCCGTCCCACTCATCCTGGTGTCTGACATCTAAGATCCAAGGTTCAATCCTAGCCTGTGCCAACAGCAACACAAGGTGTTCCTTCTGATTTTAAAAATGGCTTTCGTATTCTGTAATGTGCTTCTTTCTTCTTCTTCTTCTTCTTCTTCTTCTTCTTCTTCTTCTTCTTCTTCTTCTTCTTCTTCTTCTTCTTCTTCTTCTTCTTCTTCTTCTTCTTCTTCTCCTCCTCCTCCTCCTCCTCCTCCTCCTCCTCCTCCTCCTCCTTCTCTTCTTCTTCTCCTCCTCCTTCCTTCTTCCTTCTTTCTTCTCCTCCTCAACCTAATCATCTTGCCCTTCTCCTATTACTTCTCCTTTTTCTTCTCCTCCTACTCCTTCTTTCTCCTTCTTTTTGCCACCTATTCATGTGATAATTTCTATACAGATGTTGTAAACTTGACTGTAGTGCAGTATGTCCATTAAACTATCAGGGCTACTTGTGTACCAATGTGGGTTTGTCCTTCGTGGTCACTCCCGGTTAGCCACATGGATTGCAGCGGTCTCTCATCGCTGGGATCCGGTCAGGTCTCCTTAATTCAGATGCAGCTCCTCTGGTGTGCACAGGACTTTGGCGCCAGCAACGGTTCCCCCTCCGGTTCAAAAGCTAAGATGGTTTGACAAAGAATGATGGTTCTGGTTTCTATGCTGCTGTGATAAGAGGCTCACGTATTCCTTCAGTTCGTTGTCGCTAGCCAGGCCAATTGGTTCTCACCCCCCATGAGTAGAAGGTGCCAGGGTCCAGGTTCAGAAACCCACCTAAGACCATCCATGTCTGGCAAAGCACAAGGGGTCTCCGACCTTGGCACTTTGACGACTTGTGGACTTCCAATTCCCAGCTGTGCTGGCTGAGGAATTCTGGGAGTTGAAGTCCACAAGTCATAAAGGTGCCAAGGTCAGAGACCTCCCCACCCTCCCATCATTAAAAAAAAAAAAAAAAACCCAGAACCGTAGGAAGGCAGCCCAGCCCAAGAAACACAAACTTTCGTTTCATTTGGTCTTGTTGGAGCTCTCCGAGGTGCTGCAGCTTCTCTACCTGCTCATTTTACTTCCCGGCCCCAGATGAGGGATTGATTCTCCAGGGTCCCTTAGATATTCCAGACTTTAAAACAGGCTACATTTTGGTGCAAGGGTGTTTTTTTTTCCTCTGGCTTCCTGTCATTTTTTTTAAAAAAAAAAACAACACTGGTGTTAGCTGTATCTAAACCGTGATCCTAGCAAACCCGAGCTTTTGGTTGCAGACGTTTCATTACCCGACTAGGTGACATCTTCAGCGGTCGGGTGGTGTTGATAGGGATCATCAGGGACTGATTATGTTAGCTTGTTGGCTCCTGAAATGTCTGCAAGCAAGCAGACCAAGTTCAGGGAGCACCAAGGACCCCACGGCACAAGCTGAGCCTGAGAAACCTCCTCTTCCGTTGGAGCTCAGCAGTTGCCTTCAGATCCGTGGCTTCCTTTCGTCGTTCTATGGTCACAGCGCTGGAGCAGTTGACCAATGTGGGGAATATGCCCTAAAGGTTACCCGTATGGAGCGTGGATAAGATACCTAAACTGGATGAAGCAGTGGTGGTGGTGTACGGGTTCAGCCCGGTTCTGCCAAGCCAGGTACCAGTGATGAGCAGTGGAGACTGGACCATTTCTCTCCGCCACTCTGCTGTTGGGTACACCCACCCGCCCGGGCTACTACACTCACCTTTATCCTCTGAATTTGAAGCGCAGCTGCTTTGCACGGCATTCGCGGCAGCCGCTGAAGCAACCAGGATTGTGCAGGCTTGCAGAAGGCGAGTTAGAACACCTCTGTGCCTGCACAAAGTGCAGAAGTGTGCATGCAAAGTGTGTGCGCACACGCAAAGCACACCCACCAAGCCACGCCCACCGAACCAGTGGTAACAATATTTGAATCCCACCACTGGGATGAAGACATTCATGCAGGGGTGGGATTCTACCGGTTCGCACCTATCTGCTAGAACCGGTTGTTAACATTCTAAGCAGTTCGGAGAACTGGTTGTTAGAAGAAATTATTGGGCTAATCCTGTAAGGAAGGCAGGAAGGAAACAGTCTGGTGTTGCTGACAGAAACTGCCTCTCCGTTAACCCTTATTACATTCTTGGCAGGACTAGACTTCCTGTCTCTGGAACTTCTCTGGAGTGTTTTTTCCCTCCTTTGCTGGTACTTTGCTTGTGTGGAGAGACCATTCAAAGTTACAATGGCACTGAAAAAAGTGACTTATGACCCTTTTTCATACTTACGACTGTTGCAGCATCCCCACAGTCATGAGAGGCCAGGTGAGGAGATGCGTGCCTCGAGGTGAGTGATGTTGAGTTGGCCACGCCCAGCCATGTCCACCCTGTCACATGACCACCAAGCCATGCCCACCACCTAAGCCACGCCCACCGAACCGGTTGTTAAACATTTTGAATCCCACCCCTGCATTCCTGTTCTTAAAAGGAATTGGGTAGGTCTAGTCTAGTGAAGAGAAGGACTAGGAGGAGCAGGAGAGCAGCCTTCCAGTATCCGAGGGGTTGCCACGAAGAAAAAAACGGGGCCCATCTATTCTCCAAAGAACCTGAAGGCAAGATGAGAAACGACGGATGGAAACCGCTCCAGGAGAGGAAGCAACCTAGAACGTCCAACCATGAGAGCAATTAATCCACGGAACCGCTTGCTGCTAGAGGCTGTGGCTGCTCCATCCCTGGAGGTTTTTAAGAAGAGGCTGGACAGTCATTTGTCTGAAATGGTAGAGAGGGTTTCCTGCCTGAGCATATGGGGGGTTGGACTAGAAGATCTCCAAGGTCCCTTCCAACTCCTGTCCCTCCGTTAAAGGGCATTTGAGAGAGTGCCTGTCAACGGACTTCAGATTCCGAGACGCTGAAAAGCTAGTAAAATTCTCCCTTATTTTTCTCCCTCCATTCAGCTCACCAGCTGAAAGGGTTTTAATAAGGACAGAGTGGACTTTGCCAGCAGAGTGTGTGTGTGTGTGTGTGTGTGTGCACGCCAAATGTCGATCAAGAGTTCATCCCGTGTGAAAGCAGCAACTCCCATAAACTTCAGCGTGCTAACTCATGTGTGCACCCGGGTACAATGTGAATCCAAGAGCAATATTGTTTTGTTCGCCTTGTGAACAGAGTCAGGGTTGTTTTTCCCTCCTTCTCTCTCTCTCTCTCTCTCTCTCTCTCTCTCTCTCTCTCTCTCTCTCTCTCTCTCGAAGTTGAATCCATTTGGAAATATTTGTGAATCCTTTGCAGATTGTTTTTTTTTTCCCCCTTGGCAAAATGTGAACATGTGAAACAGCCATGCAAAATCTGGCCCAGTGTCCTTATCTCTTAATGAGGTCAGCTTCTGAGGAGCACGCTTGGGGTGAACAAACACACACACACACACACACACACCATAAAGCATAATTGCTTAGTCCAAAGTGTCCATAAAATTAATGCGGCCTGAATGAATTCAGACTTAATTTAACAGGCCACTGCCTCGGCTGTGAACATGTGCCTCGCAACAATGGCGTTCCAAATTAGCCACGAAGGGCTTTCCCTTTTCATAGAAGGATTGGGGTCGAAGGCAGAAGAAGCGGTCGCTTGTCCGAATGAGGAAATGTCACACAATTAAGGGAGCTGCCATTTTGGGTATGAATGTTGGCCTTAAAATAATAATAATGAATAGGAAAATATTCACCGAGCTTTTGTTCTGTGGCCAAGATTCAGGGAGACCTTTGGGAACTTCCTCTGGTTCCAAAGAGTTTGGTGGTGAACTGGATAGTTCCCATAAAAATTAAATTGTTGATCAAATGTCGTCCCCCCCTGCAAATGTCTTGAAAGAGACACAGGATCTGGGAGGCCCATGGTCACCCCAAAATCCTTGACCCAGTACTACAGAGTTCCTAAAATAGTTTCCAACTTGAAAGCTTCTAAGTGATAGAAGCAGATACTGGGGAAAAATAATTGCTTCAATGAGATCGAAGGCAGGTTTTTGTTGTGGTCTCTACGGTTTTTCCAGATTATGATTCTCATCCGTTGCTCACAGCAAAATGTGTTGCTCAGCCTGGAAAAGAGGAATCCTACATTTGCACCTTAAGGAAAGGCCACAAGCGTGTTGAAAATTAGGGGAAATGTTACCTTAAGTTGCTGGTTTTCTACATACAGGAAAAAAATTTGTCTAAAAGGCTGTTCTGCACAGATGAACCTAACTGTTTTTTTGGGGGGGTCCTTGGTACTCCCTGAGCTTGGTTGTTTTCTTGCGGACGTTTCATTTCCAAAGTAGGTAACATCATCAGTGCTGAAAGGAAAGAGGGTTTCGCTCCTTTCT